CATATGATAGTTTGAGTTGAAATGGACCTTAAAGATCATCTACTTCCAACCCCACTGCCATGGGCAGGGACACCTTCCACTAGACCAGGTTGCTCAAAGCGCCGTCCAGCCTGGCCTTGAACACTGCCAGGGAGGGGGCAGCCACAGCTTCTCTGGGCAACCTCTTCCAGTGTCTCATAACCCTGACAGTAAATAATTTCTTCCTTATATCTAATCTGAATCTTCCCTCTTTCAGTTTAAAACCATTACCTCTCATCCTATCACTACACACCCTGACAAAGGATACCTCCCCATCTTTCCTGTAGGCCCTCTTTAAGTACTGGAAGGCCACTGTAAGGTCTCCCTGGAGCCTTCTCTTGGGTGAACAACCCCAACTCTCAGCCTGTCCTCGTAAAGGAGGTGCTTCAGTCATCTGATCATCTTTGTGGCCCTCCTCTGGACCCACTCGAGCATGTCCATATCCTTCTTATGTTGGGGGCCTCAGAGCTGAACACAGGTGGGGAGTGGGCAGTTCTTCATTCTTCCAGTCCCTCTCTTTGCCTTTTGTGGATGGGGCAGTGTGGCTGGAGCACTTGCCAGTGAAGACTGAGGCAAAAAAGTAATTGAGTACCTCAGCCTTCTCCATGTCCTGGGTAACCAGGTCCCCCATTTCCTGCCGGAGAGGGCCTGCATTTTCCCTAGTCTTCCTTTTATCACCAATATACCTATAGAAGCTTTTCTTGTTGCCCTTGGCATCCCTGGCCAGATTTAATTCTATCAGGGCTTTGGCCTTCCTAACCTGATCCCTGGATGCTGGACAGTTTCTCTGTATTCCTCCCAGGCTACCTTTCCTTTCTTCCATCCTCTGTAGGCTTCCTTTTGTGTTTGAGATTCTCCAGGAGCAACTTCTTCATCCGTCCAGGTTCCTGGTGTTCTTACCTGACTTCCTCTTTGTCAGGATGCATCGCTCTGGAGCTTGGAGGAGATGATCCTTGAATATCAACCAGCTTTCTGGGGCCCCTCTCCCCTGCAGGGCTTTATTTCACAGTACTCTGCCAAGCAGATCCCTGAAGAGGCCACAGTCTACTCTCCTGAAGCAAGCTTGCTGTGTGCCCTCACTGCCCTAAGGATCCTGAACTCCCATTTCATGGCCACTGCAGCCAAGGCTGCTCTTGAGCTTCACACTCCTCCCAGACCCTCCTTGTTAGTGAGAACAAGGTCCAGCATAGCATCTCTCCTCACTGGCTCCTCTATCACTTGGAGAAGGAAGTTACTGATGCATTCCAGGAACATCGTGGATTATTTATGCCCCGCTATGTTGTTCCTCCAGCAGATACCAGAGTAGTTGAAATCCCCAAGGACTGGGGCTTTTGAACATGAGGCTGCTCCTGTCTGTCTGTAGAGAGCCTTACTCAGTCTTCCTGGTCGGGTGGCCTGTAGCAGACCCCCACTATAACATCACCTATCCCTGTCTTCCCTTTAATCCTGATCCACAAACTCTCAATTGGCTCCACATCCATCCCCAGGCAGAGCTCCTGCACTCCAGCTGGTCACTGACATAGAGGGCGACCCCCCCTCTCCTTGTCTTCCCTGCCAGTCCTTCCTAAAGAGCCTGTATCCTTCCATTCCAACAGTCATAGGCATCTGCCAGTAAGATTGTAGCCCTGCAGACATGCATGTCTGCTCTTGTTTATTGCCCATGCTACGTGCATTTGCACAGGGGCATTTCAATTTGCCCCCTGATGAAGCTGACTTACTGGCTGATGTGTCTGGAATTCCTCTGTGCTGCTCTTGAGGTGCTCTCTCTCCTGCTGACCTGTGATCACCCTCCAGGCTCTGGGCATCTATTGCTGGCACTGGCATTGAGGTGGTTAGGAGTGGGATGGATTGAAGATCTCCTCCCCTGGAAACTTTAGTTTACGAATGATCTCTGACAGAAAATGGTGGTTTAGGCATTTAATAATATTTGAAACTGAATAAAAATAATGCAGTGGAGCCTCATGTCTGATAGGAATAGCTGTGCTACTGAATTCTGCTTTGAACAAAGCCACTTGGAGAGACTGTCAGTTTCCATATTTCTGCTTAAATTGCATTAAATTTGCTCACTTTGCAAGTGAAAGAATTGGTTCTTTTTTTGCAAAGTCCTGCAAGTTAAACAATCTTCATAGCAATTAAGAGCAGATGAAAACTAGTCATTTAGCTCCTACTGTATTCAGTGATTTTTGTTTTACTGCCAAAACACAGGAAAATACCTTGAGACAGTGATAAATTAAGCAAGTTTTTTGTAGTTGCAGTTTGTTCCTTTGTCTTTTTTCTTCATAGTGTTGGACAATCAGCATAGCTAACACTGTTAGTAGTCACTAGGAACACAGGACATTAGGAGTATATTTTAACTACTCTGCAACTTTATTTCAATCCTGCTGTTAGTTTACTACTGCATAGGAGAGATTGCTGATTTGTTTCACTGCTCAGTACTGACAAGTCTTACCTGAAACATAAAAACAAATCCTCCAGGTTTGACTGTTGGACGGGACAGTTCTTCATTTTGGTGCAAAATGGCTTCCTCCACAGTGATAAGCTTGTAACTCCTTGACCATGCAAGATATTTGTGCTTCTCCTAACATACTGTTGTTCTGTGGAGTAATACCACTTGAACTCCATCACCTAAGCAGCAGCACTGCTGAGCTAGGAAACAGTGAAGAAACTCGAGTGGAACACTCATTTGTCTGCCAGAAATATGTAGCTCTTTGAAATAAGCCCTTAAGACATGCTTTTTCCAATTTCTCTACTAAGAGGGTTGCATACCATTTTACATGTTTGCTTATCATCATGATTCATATACTTGAATGTTTCTGTATCATTGCGAAAGGAATGAAAATCCTGGAAAATGTAAGAATGGCAAACTAGTTCTAGTGCAGGGCACTGAGAATTCATCTGGCTTTTGCTATCTTCTTGTAAACGATCAGAAAAGTCTTTCCTGTCTTGAAAAATGTGACAGCAGCTCAAGGACAGCCTTTGGTGTTTCTCCAAAGAAAGCAGCAAGTAAAAGAGAAACCAAGTTCCACATAATTTACAGAATTAATTACCATCTTTCCCATTTTCATTAACATTAGATACACAGCAGAGAAGATTATTTAAAAATGCTTATCTAAAATGGCTGGGTTTTTTTAAATATCAAGAATAAGTGTTAATTTAACCCCTAGATGGCTACAGTAAGTAGGCTTTCCTTGCCTCATGCAACTAAACATTTTAGTGATAGACAGTGCTTGAAAACCACAGTTCCAAATTAATCTTAATTTTGTTCAACTAGAAGTCCTTTAATTTTAAAATTCTGTATAGTAGACATACAGACCCCTTGTCTCCTAGAAATCTACCACCATAGTTCCATTCATGTAGCACCTGAAGCCACTAAGATTGTATTCCTTTATGCTTTTGAACACTCTTCTTACCAGCTTTTCAGACCCCCCTGCTGTCAGAGGTTTAACAGGTATTACGCTTTGTACAACAGGGGTCTTGATTATGGAGAGAACAACATCTAGCTTGCTAGTGAGAAGCCCAGTCAGGTTTGGGTACTCAACAGTAATACAGTCAAAACAATTTGTTTTAAAAGAATTCTCTGGCAATACATTAATTACCTTAAGGATTTTGTTTGTCTGGCATTTTACCAGCATCAAGTTAAAAGCTGTTCATTCAACTTGAATAGAGTTTCACTCTACATTTTATACCATTAGAACATACGCTCTTTAACAATCATCTCTGCTATATACCTATTTACAGATCAAGTACTAAGAAAATGCCTATTTTACTCAGAATGTGGGTAAACATTTCGATGTTAAAACATGCCATTTTTTGAAAAAAAACCACCCATATAACCTGTTTCCCAGTGCTTGTCAGTTAGAAGAGATGATCATACCTCCTTTTCTCTGCTTACAAGCATTTGTTTTCCCTGCTATATCAACTGTAGTAGCCCAGACCAGTTAAAAGTCAAACCTAAATGGTGAAAAAAAAGAGCAACTAAGAACTCAGTAATGGAGATTAGTACTTTTCTCCAAAGAATTCAAGCTACCTATGGCAAGTCTATCAGTGAACTGTTTAGTTAGGCTTAATAGGCACTATTTGACTTGAGCTCTGCTTTTCACTTGATGACAACTAGCTCTTTTCATACACAAAAGAACCAACCTTCACTTGAATATTTAGACATCTTAAGGTACAGAAGTTGTAAGCTAGTACACTGAGGAATAACACCACAAGAGTAGTTACAAAATGACATGTATTAAGAGAAAACCAAGACAAATTTCTATTTTCTGAAATAGAATTGCTGGTTGGAAAATTAGTTGTGTCTGTGCTCCCATGCTGTCTCAATGAAGGTTGATTCATACTCAGAAAGATTGCTCCAAACACAGGTGTGAGTCAGAACAGACAAATACAATCTTCAAAACAGGTGTACACACAAAGCAGGCTGGACTGCAGTTAAGGGTGTCTTAGTGGTAGTAAAGGGTATTTCTAGGTTATAGCAAGTAAACTAGTTTTTAGTTTATATTCTACAGTTAGAGAAAAAAACAAAGACCACAGAACATTAAAAACATGATACATTGCGCATAATGTAGGACTTAGCAACTACAGCTTCACCTGAGACATTGAGATGTCTTGTAAATGCTTAGTCCAGTTCACCTTCTGCAGAAGCCTGTCAGAGATTAGTCACTTTGAACAGCTGAGATGACTGCTGTTCTCTAAGACAATCATTTGCCTTTCTACTCTTTAGCAGAAGATAAGGGCTGCGTGGAGTAGTCATAGTATACCATGTCAGATGGTTTCTGTTGTGAAAAGTTCAGGAGTTTGAATTTTTATACTCTGAATTTGGGCAAGTTAGTGGTAACTGAACCATACTGTAGTACTGATCTTGTGAGCAAGAGTCCAACAAAGCTTTCAGAAGAATCTTCCTGGCTAATCTCTCAATGAGAAAACACTATTGTCTTGGTGGTTTTTTTGTGTTTTGTTTTGTTTGTTTGGGTTTTTTTTTAAATCTATAAGCTAAGAACACAGCCAGGACAGTGTTTCAGCCTGGTTACAGATAGTGTAAGCTAGCAGTGTCATTTAGGAGCCTCAGGAAAATATATCATACTACATAATATCTAAGGACTACAGTCATGCTTTCTGAGTCTATCTACACTGCAGTAAAGAAGTGCCACAATGGGCACAAGGGTAGACCACAGCATGGGCTATTTTTTATCCTTACCATATTTTGTCAAGGTAAGCTCCTCTTAAAACTAGGCTATGGATTTCTCTACTGCATTGTTCAGGGGAGAGATATGTCCTTAGCAGAGCCGTCTTTCCCATCTACCACCCACCCACACATGACTGGACAAGTTAGCTGACTTCAAAATTACCACACTTACTGCTAGCTGGTTTCAATTTTAGAATCAGTAGGAAGGAAAGAGTCATTGCAGAGGTCGAGCTGCTTTAAAAGCAAGCCTCCAGAGATTTAAGATTATTTTTCTCACCACTAGAACAGGACTAAAACTTCAAGAAAATACTATTTTATTTTGGCCCTTATTGAAGCCTTGAAGATAATCAAAATATTCTCAAATCTCTCTGCTCTCATCATTGCTGTGTTTATCTGAAGAGGTGACTGAGTTGCATCACGAACCTTCTTTGTCCACAACCTGTCGTTCTTCACCATGCTCAGATAAGTGGTTCTTCATATCTTCGTTTTGAACTAATTAGGAAAAAATAAAAAGGTACAGAAATCTCTTCAAGAGGTATAAGTAATAGTTCTCCATCTTGAAAACAATCTAGAACAAAGCAGGAGAAATTCTAAAAGGACTGTTAAGTTCTTTATAGTATGGTAAAGCTACAGCTACTGTCCCTCCCTACCACATGTTAAACAGTAGCTTCAGTGATCCTGTACAGGAGGTAGGTTCCACTGTCAACATGAGGTAAAGCTCTTAAGAACAAACAAAAATTAGCTAGCTATATCTGCTGCAGTATACCATTCAAAATATCTTTAAACTTTCAGCATGTGGTATTTAGTTAAAACTTTTTTTTTCTTTTTTTACCATTTTCAATCCCTGCTAGTGCTGCTTGCTTGTCTGTTTCTGATTCAGCTTCATTCTCATCTAAATTGTAATCAACATCCTTGTCCTGGTTCAGTGCTTCATGATCCTGTTTGTCTGGAAAAATGTTAAAAGTAATTAATTTTATGCTAAACTATAAGGTCACCTACATGAGAAACAGTTACTGTAACAACGTATCACAGAATTTACTTTGCTGCTGAATGAATTGCTGTTTAGAGTAGGTTTTCATATTATTTTTTGTTTTGAACTGTTAAATTTCAGAGCAGCTTTTGCTGTAAATCACTTCCAAATAACTAGATAAAAGGGGAATAATCTTTCGGGATGCAGAAAGCTGTGAACATAGCATTAAAAAAATGAGTATTTTATGATGTGCTAACTTGACACAAAAAGTGCTTTTCTGTAACTGATTTTCTTCACCCATTCATTAATTCATCTCAGGTAACTTTTATTGACTATCTTAAGATTTCATTATATGGAGAGGATGTTCAGAGAATGTAGAAGAAATCTTTCTACCTTAGGCTTCTTTAGCTACAAGGAACCTATGCAGTAAGGTACAGTATTTGTGTTGAACAGTCAAGCCTGAAGAACATCCTGCTAGTCTTTCTAGCTCACAAAAGCTCTGACCTTTCACAGGCTACATGGCATTTTTTTCTTGCACTAGTTGTGTAATTTTTCTGCTACTTATTTCTGTTGAAACTGAAGCAGTTTAGGTAACCTGTATTCATATCTCTGTGAGGGACAGACTGCTCTGGCCAGCATCTTTTTGGAGCAGCTGGAAAAACAACTTCTTTTGCAGAATAGAGAAGATTATTTATCCCTGCCAAGTTATTACTCATGATCCTGCGAATGTTTTTGTTTACTAGAAAAAGCATAAACAGCACTTTTTGCGGGCATCAGTTCCTGCTCTGACTGCCATAAGGCTTCCTCTTGATTACTCTGGGCTACTGGATTCACCTGAGACAGAGTTCTTCCAGACAGACAAATGGATGTTTAGATTCTGGTCAGGTTTAGGCACATCAGTGTTCTGCTGCTTGCTGCTGTGCAGACATGGTTCAGGGTCACATTGGGTAGATGCCAGAAAACAGCACCTCTGCAACATGTGATCTGCAAGTTTTGCAGACTCACAATAATAAACTTCAGATTCTCAGGTATAATTTTATTCATGCTAGCTTATTCTGAAATAGGGATAGCTAGCATCTACACATTGACATTATAAAAGACTATCTGCAAAACATCAGTATGTAGTATCCCTCTACTCATCAGTGCTTTGGATGGTTAACATTTCATCCTTTTTAAATGTATCATATTCTTACAATGCCTCAATATTAGGAAGTTTCAGGGCTAATTTCCCCAAATGCCTTGTACAGAGAATGGAGAGAAAGAGAGAGAGAGACAGGAAGGCTGCTATAGTGATGCAGAAGAACCCAGCCTGGTAGCTCCACATTGCACAAACAGAGGCTTCCATCTTTACCCATGGACTGTAGAAGACTGACCAACCTTTTATATTTCACACTAGCCTTTATGAAACCTTATCAAACCTAAGTCCGGCCAGCTGCCACCACTGTTTCAGAAATCTTGCCCTATTCCACACTTCCATTTCTTTAACGTTCTTAATATGTGACATGCTACCAACCAGCCTTTCCAGGGGGCAAGTTGTCCTGCTTAGCATCATAATTTCGCAGCTGTTCCTTCTCGGTTTCCTCACTGGCAGCCTGCTCTGCTGCCAGCTGTAACACATCTTGCCCAGCTGCATGTTTTTCATCTTCAGACAGATTCATCTCCTTCTCTGACTTGGGCAGCATATCCTTATGACCTGCAGCAGCCTTGAGTGAATCCTGTGGGTTTTTCAGTTGACTAGAAAGCTTCTCCTCTTCTGCCTTAGGCTCCTGTTTTCTGATTTCAGCTAGGCCATTTATTCTTTCTACAAACAATAAAAATGATTCCAAGTAAAAAACCTAATGCCTTTCGGTGGTGGCACAGGTTAGAAACCTGTAATAAACATTGCTTTAGCTTCCTCATTCAATTCTTAGTTTTGCTCCGAAAGAGTATCTTTCAACTACATCAGTTCCAAAGATAAAAAGAAGACAACCCATGTTTTTCCTATGGGGAGCAACTAAAGGATGAGACATTGTTTACTATCATCAGATTCACACTTATACTTACTTAGAATTTTGATATGTGCAGTTAATAAATGGGGCAGGTGAAACAGAGCAGTTTAAATAACAATTGCAGTGTGCTATATAACCATAAGTTTTCTGTGTGTTACATTTTGTTACTAACAATAAAACTGATTTGGTGTTCAAAAGTAGCTCAGGACAAAGCAGTCACATGGGCAGATTTGCAAGTAAATCAAGGCTGTTCTTATTTTTAAATATGAAGAGAAAGTGCAGGAGGGCTATTAATTTTAGTAGACATTACAGTGTTTTTTCCTGGTGTACCTGTATTTTTAACTAAAAAAATGATGAAATATGCCTGAATAAACTACATTTAGATGTTGTCTTCAATTGCTATCTCTCTAAAATGAGACTTGCATGCTCTCAAGACTGTAATCTAAGATAGCATGTAAGAATAATTAAATAGGAAACTGAATTTGTCACACACAGTACTACACAAGACTGACGCATGAGGATACATCCATTTTAATTAATAGTTTCTGAGTGCCAAAAGCAACCATTAGGTTAACTAACCTGAGCTCCTGCGTGTCACTTGTTTTTCTTGCATTTTGCTCAGTGACAACACATAAGAATAATGGATCTGTGTTTGTTTAAAGCCTAACTTTCAGCTATTCTGTAAGGGGG